TACTTTTTCAATTATAAAAAAAGAACGGAGACTGTAATATAGGTTTTCTTTGTTTGTTGATTTAATGTCATGTGAGTCATTATTTACTTCAAATCAAAAAAAAGAATGGAGACTGTATTATAGCTTTTCTTTGTTTGTTGATTTAATCTCATGTGAGGCATTATTTACTTCTAATTTAAAAAAAGAACGGAGACTGTAATATAGGTTTTCTTTGTTTGTTTATTTAAAGTCATGTGAGGCATTATTTACTTCTAATTAAAAAACCGAATGGAGACTGTATTATAGGTTTTCTTTGTTTGTTGATTTAATCTCATGTGAGGCATTATTAACTTTTTATCATTAAAAAGAATGGAACCATTATTAACTTTTTATCATAAAAAAAAGAATGGAGACTGCTCGAGTCTGTTGCCAGAGTATTACTTAAGCTGTACACGATATAGGTGAATGGTGCACCGTTCTATTGGCGTATCGTGCACAGAATACAGTCATGGTTGTTGTTTATGACTATGAATCCGGTGAGTCACAGGTTGCACATGATATTCTTACAAATATGCGGCATGTAAACATGACGTTCCCTATGTATACAGCTGCACAGTGGTGATCCACTCAGCAGACAGGATCCTAAGTTACGAATTTGAACAACAAGCCATGAAAAGATGGTTGGATGATAATTACCAATGGGAAACTTGCCTTGTGTATGTCTCGGTGTGGTATAGATCTCGTTGTGTGTTTAATAATAAAAACACAGAGAACACACCAGGATGAAGCAAGGTGGTAGTGATGGCGGGTTCGATCGTGGGAAGGAAGAAATTGTTACAAATGGTTGAATGTCATGTTTGCGTCGTGTCTATTGATTTATGTATAAATGTTCTGTGTTGTATATAGACGTGTTAATTGCAACACTGAATATATAAATATTAGACTATCGTTTCAGAGAGATTAAGGAATAAGCAAATACGTTAACCATGTCGGTAGCCCTGGCGTTCAGGATAGTCCTCTCACGATTAATGTTTGGATACAGTGCCTAAATAACAGATCGTATATGACATTTTGAGAAAAATAATTTAGGGATTAAATTATTTGCCAATATTCGATTATGTGACAACATATATCCATTGATCGATATAGTGAAGTTAAACGAGTTAATTTTGTTTGGACAAAAATATATTGTATATAGGATTTTTTAGACATGCACTACTAAACTCAGCTAATACGATATCGCTAATATGTACTCCGTTGCAGAGGTAAACTGTATTGTGATATTGTCGTAAGGACGAAGTTATCCTGATGCCAAGAAGAGAAAACTTCTTTCAGCATTTAATATGGGAAACTGAACACTATGTACCATCAATACGTTTTATTGGTGAACACAGTGAGTGAGATGGGTTTTACGCCGCTTTTAACAATGTTTCGTTTATTTCACGGCGTGTCAGTTTGAGTTTAAGGTGTGTTTGTTGTTTAACGCCACACTCAGCAATATTCCAGCTATATGACGGCGGTCTGTAAATAATCGAGTCTGGACCAGACAATGCAGTGATTGACATCATGAGCATCGATCCACGTAATTGGGATACGATGACATGCATCAACCAAGTCAGCGGGCCTGACCACCCGATCCCGTTAGTCGCCTCTTACGACAAGCATAGTCGCCCTTTTACAGCAAGCATGGGTTTCTAAAGATCTATTCTACCCCGGATCTTCACGGGTCGTGTCAGTTTGAAGTGGGGGGAAAACCCGAAGTGATACAGCTCCCTGACGTTTAACACTTTAGTGAAACCCACGAGCACGGGTATGGTGCTGACAAACCTAGAAACATAATCGAACCCACAATAATAGGTTTCTGGCGTGCCCAAGGGACGCAACTCTGCACAGGGCATTGCAGAGCTTTAGACGACTGGTCTACATGTGCCCCCTGAAGATTATTAACTTATGAATCTAAGAATTTATAATCGAACCCGATCAGACAAGTCAATGGATAATACTAACAAGAGAGGTATGAGCAACTGTCCCCAGCATCAGAACACGACGACACTCAACCATGCAGTCACACACAGTATCCACCTGGTCCTCATTTTAGTCTATTATCATGAATGAGTGAGTGAGTGAGTGAGTGAGTGAGTAAGTTAGAATGGTTTTACGCCGCTTTTAGCAATATTCCAGCTAAATCACGGCGGGGTACACCACAAAAGGGGTTTCATCCATGTGGTACACCGAACCCGGGTCTTCGGTGTGACGAGCGAACACTTAAACCACTAGGGGACCCCACCGCCGTTTATAATTATGGGGTACTCGGGATCTACCCAAACCTGGAATCCCCACGGAGGTAAGATGTTAGTATGTCGTCCTGCGTCGCTGGATCTGGCTTCGAGAATCTCAGATTAGCCAAATAATGACATCATAATGACAGAAGCTGAACTATTCCCTTGCTTGTAGATTTCACCACGATGAAAACGACCAGCGTTATATTGGATTCTTACGTGAGGGACACGGCGTGATGTAACTTAAATGTTGTTCAAAGTTCATTCAGTGTTCTTGTGACGACCCCGTCCTTCAGGTGTGGATTTTATACGTCCACATGACATCTGATAGCTGAACATCATACATTTCAAAGACACAGGTGTTGTCTTAGTTCTATGGCCATTAATTATCTTATCACTTTATCACACGTGCACAAAGCTGACAATTTAGAAAAAGAGTAGTATACGATATTATCCATCCTCGATTACCCAGGGTATAATATGTCCTATATTACCCATAAGGGTAGAATGACCGTGTGTCATAACGCTTCAATATTTGCACGTGTTTTAAAGATTCTCCAGTTGAAGTAAGTTGGTAAGTTGAAGCTATCTGAAGGCACGGTGCTTTACTGGTGACGAAATACTATATGACGTCATCCATTGTTCATGACATCACAAATTGATTACATTACCTCATTTTCTCTCTTAAAATGTCAACCAGTAATATGTAGAATAACCTGCTTGCAATTCAGACAGACGGATTATCTGTCCCTTGTGAATGAACGCTGTAAGTCCCTCGCCAAAGGCCCGGGATTAACACAATTCACTCGGGAGGGATAATCCGTATCTCATTGTGGCTTGTTGGTTATTTTTTAATTCTAATGTGAAAAACACCCCACACTAGATTCTTCTTTAGTCCGATTCGAAATACAAGTTTACATGTGTACATGTTTTTCTATATTATGCTTACAACATTCGATGTGAGTTGTCAAAGTAACACGACACATTGTACCTATATCCACACTTACCAATCCAAATGTACAAATTCTATCCTACAAGACATATTATTTTAATTTGACTAGCAGAGTTGACATGAAAAGCATGTTTTTTCAAAGGGAGCCTAGGCCCTGGTCAACTGACAGGTCCCCCCACCAAGGTTGAGTGTGTGTATGTGTTTGCTACTTAACGTCCCATTCAGCAATATTCCAGCTATATGACGACGGCCTGTAAATAATCGAGTCAGGACCAGACAATCCAGTGAACGATCTACGCCGACAGGTTACGCTGACACACAAAGTCACCACCCGATACACGAAGTCGCCTGTTACGACCAGCAGAGGCTGTGGGGGCCTGGAATCACCAAGGATTACTTTGAGTCAAGGAATTCAAACATCACTGCAGTTGTCTACTAACGAACCCGTTTGAAGCATTTAAATGTAACAGCTGCCGATTAACCTGCATACACCGACCCAACTTCTGAGTTCCACAAAAGACACTAATTCAACGTCTAGAACGAATTCTACCATGACATTGAAGAATGCTTGATTCTGATTGGTTAAAAAGAGGTTTCCTTTTTGCTACGGAAACCCCTTTTTTAATATATATTAAGCCTTTTCACACACAAAAAAACGTGCGCATGTATACATCGATAGCCTACATATTGATTCACACAAAAAATGGCCGCCGATCGATCAGCTATAGGAATTGTAAAACGTATCGATATTTCTTATATTACACGTTGGGTCTCTAATACAAGCCAGGTCTCTAATACGCCGGGTCAACGGCTCTCGCGAAATTAATAGACGGTCTAGCGTCTAAAATAGGAAATACGGTAGTTTGATCGTATGTTTTGGGCGACGATATGATATTCTAGGCCGTAACTTTGAAGCGCTAAAGCGCTCGGTTGCAAATTAAAATAAGAGGTATCTACTCTACAGTGGGACTACATCAAATTTCAAAACACATTTAGTTTATCTCCTAAATCGACTATGGCCACAAGATCGAGAGTCCCACTTTCAGAAACTGATGATTGGTCACAAAGTCGCAGTTTATCGAATTTGAGTACAAAAAAATAAAATCTGAAACAATGTAATCATGTTCTACGAGTTGTAATATTTTCTTCACGCACTGTTCCCAAGGGGCAAAGATGAAGGGAGTCATATTACAAGTCTCCCTTCCACCTTTGTGTATGACGTCTGTGCCATAGTTCATGTTGTATCGTGTATCTACTGAAGCTTGCCTTCATCATCAGCACGTCAAATTAACCTAACATACAAAATAATACTTAAGTTCGAAATACTCTGAAGTAAAAGCGACAAAGTCCATTGTACGTTGCGACTATATCATCAGCATGTGTTTAAGAGTCACTATCGAATGGTGACGACACTCGGTGTTCGCGAAAATGCCCACCTGTGTCACCCGTCACAAACACATGAAAAGGCAGGGCAATTGTTCACATGAAAGAGACGTTATAATAAGAAATTACATCGGACATCAGTTTTTATCACTGATGCGTCAAATTTGGACATGTCCTCCACATGACTACTGTAACCTTTTGAAAGCTTTACATCTGCTTTAGAGCTGAGCGTTAATAATATATTTACGTACGTAAGACCTTATAAGTTATTTTGTCTTATATTTCTTTACACTTATTTTTTTAAATCCCGCGGTACTTCTTTGACAAAGGACCGTTTTCTCCCAGGGCTCTGTATGACAAAACAACGTGCAAAAATCAGTTGATCAGTTAATTCCCTTTGTTCTCACCTTAAAATTTCCGCTAGATCTCGCTCTTTGTTTTGTGAGTTTCGATGTATGGGGTATAATTCCTCAGCTCAAACCACACTTGCACCCTCCCGTGATGATCGCTGCAACCGTCTACCCCGACTCCGTGAACACTTAACCTAAACCTATGCTTGTCATTGCTGTTGGTTTAGACCCAGGACTTTATGCGACTATTTGCTTGCCCCATAACTCATCTCCAGCTGATGAATAGCATCAGTTCTAAGACCATTCCCACCCTTTCATTCCAGTGACGTTGTGAAAATAACAAAAAGAGTGTATCCTTAAGGCTGAGGCGTGTTTTGGATTCTAAAAATATTCACATTGAAACAGGAGAGACGTGACGTTATTAGAATCCAATGAAAACAACGGGTATTTTGTCAAAGAAATCGTATCAGGAAGACGAAGCGGATCAGTAAAATGATACTAAATACACAAAAGAATACTGAAATATTAATAACGTTTCTGCTTGTAAATAGCAATAAATATTTGAAAACTAGATTTTTTCACAAGATGTCTATACAAAGGTTAGGATATTCTAGGTTTATGAATGTTCAGCCAAATTGTATTAAGTTTGACTTACGGATAAATATCAAGGTTCGGCCTACATGTATGTAACCCAATCATTCGGGAATGATATGGTTAAAGAACTTTGACACTTGTCGGTTTTTGTTTTGTTTGTTTATTTGTTTGTTGTTTACCGCCGCACTCAGCAATATTCCAGCTATATGACAACGGTCTGTAAATAATCGAGTCTGGACCGGACAATCAAGTGATTGACATTATGAGCATCGATCCACGCAATTGGGATCGATGACATGCATCAACCAAGTCAGCGAGCCTGACCACCCGATCCCGTTAGTCGCCTCTTACGACAAGCAAAGTCGCCTTTTGCGGCAAGTATGGGTTGCTGAAGACCTATTCTACCCCGGATCTTCACGGGTCGTTTTTAATCTTTGATACTTAGTTCATAACCCATAGACTCCTGCTGTATCCCAATCACAGCTTCGGAATTACGTGTAGCAATTATTCTAAGTACAGCTTGTACTTGTCTTAAATGTCATTGTGTTTTTTCACAATGACGTAACTTAATTTAAATGTATCTAAAACTAACTCAAATGTCCATACAGCAGTCATGATACCCTTGCCAGTTTAAAAGCACACAAATCCTTCGACAATGTTTGCACTACCTACATTTCACTTCCTTACTGACGAATCTCATTGAACTTTGTTCTACCTTTAGGCACATCAGCCCCTTTAAGTTTTCTTTAAAAGACACTTATTAAAACACTAATTCTTCACAATGTTTCTGTTCATACAAGATCCACCCAAAATGTCAACATCTCCGCGGCTACGGGTATTCAAATAGGTATAGACACACCTTAAACCGCTCGATATTCTGGTACACACTTCAGAAGCCGCCAAGAGAATGCTGTCGTGATCAAATATAACCAGTGTTTGCGAAGACATATGGAGCACCCACTGATGCGTGTATTTGTCACATGTCCGTGTGTATATGTTCCCTGAACAGTGCTTGTGCATCTGTATCCACTGTGCGAAGGATATAAAAATATATACATCGTGTACTGACAAGGGGGGTGTTATAATCCATGAAAACATCCTTGTCGGACACCAGTAGGGTGATACAGGCTGAACATTACATTATCGACGCGGTGCTTGGTGAAAGTCATGATGGAGGAAGGGGGGGAGGGGCGTTTTTTTCTATTATTTAACTAATTACAATCTATATACCATGGTATAGATGAAAAATTCTATATAACAATTTACAAATGTTGGATTGTAACAGCGTTATGAAGCCGGCGATGAGTATGTGCGACTTCCTCAACTCTCCGAAATACTAGAGGTGACAATAATGATATTTTCCTACATTTTGTTAATAAAATCCGACACGTTTGCGGGTTAAGTTATGAACAAAGACCGATAAGATTAAGTCGCCTTGTTTGCACTCAGCAATATTCTGGGTACGTTGATGTGAAAACTATCACGGCTATACACAATAAAGTGAAAACTATCCCAGTTATACACATTGATGTGAAGACTAGCACGGCTATACACAATAAGGAGAAAACTATGACGGCTATACATTTGTACATAATAAAGTGAAACTATCACAGATATACACATTGATGTGAAAACTATCACGGCTATACACAATAAAGGGGAAACTATCACGAATATACACATTGAAGTGAAAACTATCGCGGATTTTAACAATGAAGGGAAAACTATCGCGGATTTTAACAATGAAGGGAAAACTATCGCGGATATACACAAAGTAGTGAAATCTATCACGGCTCTACACAATGAAATGAGAATTATCACGGCTTTTGGCATAAAGTGAAAACTATCGTCGATATACACAATGAAGCGAAGACTATCGCGGCTCTACCCATTGAAGTGAAAACTATCGCGGATGTACACATTGAAGTGAAAACTATCGCGGATGTACACATTGAAGTGAAAACTATCGCGAATATACACATTGAAGTGAAAACTATCGCGAATATACACATTGAAGTGAAAACTATCGCGGATTTTAACAATGAAGTGAAAACTATCGCGGATTTTAACAATGAAGGGAAAACTATCGCGGATATACACAAAGTAGTGAAATCTATCACGGCTCTACACAATGAAATGAGAATTATCACGGCTTTTGGCATAAAGTGAAAACTATCGTCGATATACACAATGAAGCGAAGACTATCGCGGCTCTACCCATTGAAGTGAAAACTATCGCGGATGTACACATTGAAGTGAAAACTATCGCGGATGTACACATTGAAGTGAAAACTATCGCGAATATACACATTGAAGTGAAAACTATCGCGAATATACACATTGAAGTGAAAACTATCGCGGATTTTAACAATGAAGTGAAAACTATCGCGGATTTTAACAATGAAGGGAAAACTATCGCGGATATACACAAAGTAGTGAAATCTAACACGGCTCTACACAATGAAATGAGAATTATCACGGCTTTTGGCAATAAAGTGAAAACTATCGTCGATATACACAATGAAGCGAAGACTTTCGCGGCTCTACCCATTGAAGTGAAAACTATCGCGGATGTACACATTGAAGTGAAAACTATCGCGGATGTACACATTGAAGTGAATACGATCGCGGATGTACACATTGAAGTGAAAACTATCGCGGATGTACACATTGAAGTGAAAACTATCGCGGATGTACACATTGAAGTGAAAACTATCGCGGATGTACACATTGAAGTGAAAACTATCGCGGATGTACACATTGAAGTGAAAACTATCGCGGATGTACACATTGAAGTGAAAACTATCGCGGATTTTAACAATGAAGTGAAAACTATCGCGGGTATACACAATAAATAGAAAAATATCGCGGATTTTAAAAATAAAGGGGAAATTATCGCGGATTTTAACAATGACGTGAAAACAATCGCAGATTTTAACAATGAAGTAAAAACTATCGCGGATTTTAACAATGAAGTGAAAATTATCGCGGATTTTAACAATGAAGGGACAACTATCGCGGATTTTAACAATGAAGAGACAACTATCGCGGATTTTAACAATATGGGGAAAACTATCGCGGATATACAAAATGAATTGAGAATTATCACGGCTTTTGGCAATGAAGTGAAAACTATCACAGACATACATAATGAAGTGAAAACTATCGCCGATTTACACAATGAATGGAAAACTATCGCGGATTTTAACAAAGAAGGGATAACTATCGCGGATATATACATGGCTATGAAATCTATCACGGCTCTACACAATGAAATAAGAATTATCACGGCTTTTGGCAATGAAGCGAAAACTATCGCGGATATACACAAAGAAGTGAAATCTATCACGGCTCTACACAATGAAATGAGACTTATCATGGATTTTGGCAATAAAGTGAAAACTATCGCGGATGTACACAAGGAAGTGAAATATATCGCCGATATACACAATGAAGTGAAAACTATCACAGATATACACAATGAAGTGAAAAATATCGCCGATATACACAATGAAGTTAAAACTATCGCGGTTGAAGTGAAAAATATCGCGGATATACACAATGAAGTGAAAAATATCGTCGATATACACAATGAAGTGAAAAATATCGCGGATATATACATTGAAGTGAAAAATATCGCGGATACACACAATAAAGTGAAAACTATCGCGGATATACACATTGAAGTGAAAAATATCGCGGATATACACAATGAAGTGAAAAATATCGCCGATATACACAATGAAGTGAAAACTATCGCGGATATATACATTGAAGTGAAAAATATCGCGGATATACACAATGAAGTGAAAAATATCGCCGATATACACAATGAAGGGAAAACTATCGCGGATATATACAAGGAAATGAAATCTATCACGGCTCTACACAATGAAATGAGAATTATAACGGCTTTTGGCAATGAAGTGAAACCTATCGTGGATATACACTGTCACTATAAATGATACGTGCCTATCCAAAAGAGAAAGTGACGTAAAAATCAAATAACACGAATTTAGTTTTCTTGCCTTATATTATTACACATCATGTACACTATCCAACACGTAGTAGTAGTAGTAGTAGAAGTAGTAGTAGTAGTAGTAGTAGTAGTAGTAGTAGTAGTAGTAGTAGCAGTAGTAGTAGTAGTAGTAGTAGTAGCAGTAGTAGTAGTAGTAGTAGTAGTAGTAGTGCGTTTTTTTCCATGCTAAATGTCATTCTCAAAGCCTACCCAGTCAATGGATCGGCATGCATGCGAGTTTCTTTCTCGACTCCCTGGGGAGTATACAACCCAAGCTGCCTGTGGGGCGCTAGAAGGTTAACAGTCACATTACCATCTACTATCATAACAATCACAAACTACTGATAAATGCGAGAAGTTACCTGCTGATGCCCTACGACACCCAATGTAAGATATCACAATAACAAGATACGCACAGTCCATGCACAGCCACTGCTATCATCATGTCGAAGTCCACACCCTGTGCCCTTACCCCTGACTTCACGTCACATCATACCTTTCAGCACCAGGTTGTAGACCCAAAGACATTACAGCAAAGAAAAAATTACTTGTATATCAATATTTGTGTGCAGCTATGGCAACACTATTTACATTTTTGCCAC